GAAATTGTTAGTGACCTCACTAGTTCTAGTATTGCTATGTGATAAATGTGTTCTTGGTAATCTTTATTCAAGATGAAATTTTCTTGTTTATATAATCATATAATTCTTAGGAGACCTCCGGGATGCAGTAATCAGATGAAATAATTAATGTTAGTGGTACGAGAAGAGGTAGAGGAAGACCTAAAGAGTATTTAATAGAAACTATAAATAAAGACTTAAAGACTCTAAACTTAACTAAATATATGATTTTTTACAGATGTCAATGAGAGCAAAAGATCCACGTAGTCGACCCAAATAGCTGAGACTTGCGATTTTGTTGTTATTGTTATTGCTGTTGTATATAATCACATTGTTCCATGTGCACGTTGCAGGTGCCCCAAACCAAGTATATCGAAGAATGTTGGTCGTACTCTTACATATCTTCTTTCAAAAATAATGCTAAATGAAGAAGCATGATCCTGATGCATTCAATCTTAAAAAATTCACCCATGTAATTGTTTGGATCTGGAATCTTAAATCTACTGGATACTGTAATCCTTCTCCTCTATAACACAGTTGGCAAAGATTTAAATCATATGAATTCCTTCTGTTAGTTAGCAGCGGAAATTCTCATTGGTTTCAAGCTTAAGAAGATGCATGCAACAGAACCAATGCTGCATCAAGTTCTGTCATTCTCTCTTCAAAATTTCTACCTATGAGTTGCATTGGTGCATCTAGCCATCTTTAAAGTCAAAAGTAGAAGGAAGAAGCTACAAGGAGTACAAATTCATGACAGATCATAAAACTAACTAATCAAAAGGTGCTGCATTTGGGTGGTGCTATTAAAAATAATACAAGAAAGAAATTAACCATTGGGTACTAGTTTTGAGCAGTGGGATTAAAGAATATGAAGTTCCACAAGGGAACTCAGAAGTAGATGCCATCTTTAAAGATAATAGGCAACTGCAAATTTTGGATAGCCGTCCAGTATATAGGATGAAAAACATACAATGTGAAGGAAACACACAAG